AAAGACAAAAATATCTACTAGTATTGTAGTTCAGTCAATCAGTATAATAATGTTAGAGAGCTAATTAAAGCAATTGATGAACAATTCAACACTTCAGAAAAAACTTTTGTTGTTACCCTTATTATGAAGTTTTAATCCTTAAAGCTAAATGGAATTAAAGGTGTGCGAGGGCAAATGTGAGACATTACAGCTCAAATTCAGACACTTGAGGTTCACATGTTCGAATCTTTTTTTGGTGCACTATATTCGCAACACCCTTCCATAACAATATGAACCTTTTAAAATACCATAACACACATAAAAATATATGATCAATTAATGAACTTATGACCATGTGTGTTCAAGAGGATGAAAGGTTGGTCATGGAAATGAGTGAGAGTGCAATGTTAGTTATGCATAAAAAGGATTCGAGTTATGCCAAGACAAAAAGGAAAGGATAATATACCCCCAAAAGTTGACTTCCATAAATAATCAAAGTGTTTCTTCTATAAAAATAAGGGACACGTGAGGAAGAATTGCATCAAACTCAAAAATTGGCTTGACAAGAAAGGTAAAATAATCTCATTTGTATGCTATGAATCTAATATGGATAATGTTATTTATAACACATTGTGGATTGATTCAGGATCTGCAATCCATATTGGTAATACTTTGCAGGGTATGTAAAATCTAATGAAGAAGTGGGAAATGAGCAATACATTTATTTAGTAAATAAAATGAGCTCATATGTTGAAGCTATCATAACATGCTATTTAGTACTTTGTATTGGTTTTATTTTAGAATTAGAAAAGACTTTTTTATGTTCCTAATTTTTCTAGGAATTTGATTTTAATTTTCAAACTTGTATCTTTTGGTTATGCCTTTAACTTTTCAAAAACTTTAGTTGATTTATATTATAAATCTAAACTTGTTAGAAATTGTATGCTATTTAACGGTCTTTTTTATATTAATTTGCAAAATAGCTCCACTCATAACATAATACATGTTCAAATTGGTTTTAAAAGATATATTATAAATAAAAATTCCTCTATGTTGTGGCACTGATGATTAGGGCATATCTCCATAAATAGGATTAAAAGATTGGTGAATGAAGGAGTACTTAATACTTTATATTTCACTAATTTTGATACTCTTGTATCAGTTGCATTAAGAGTAAGCTAACTAACAAGTCAAAGAAAGGTGCCAAGATGAAGACAGACATATTAGAGATCATATATACAATATTTGTTGTCCGGATATGAATTTTCATGATCCAAAATATTTCATCACCTTTATTGACGATTACTCACCATATGTGTATCTCTATTTACTTCAAAATAAAAATGAACCACTAAGTACCTTTAGGATTTTTAAGGAAGAAGTAGAAAAATAATAAGGAAAATAAATTAAAATCGTAAGATCAGATAGAGGTGATGAATATTATGGAAGATATACTAAAGATGGACAAATGCTTGGTCCATTCTCAAAGTTCCTCCAAGAAAATATGATTGTTGCCCAATATATGTTACTTGGCTCACCTGATCAAAAAAGTGTAGCTGAGAGAAAAAATAGAACATTGATGGACATGGTTAGGATCATGATTAGTAGTTTGAAACTACCTAAATTCTTGTGGACTGAAGCTCTCAGGACAACTATGTATATATTAAATAGGGTTCCAACTAAGGCTATTCCTAAAACTCCTTTTTTAGAGTTGTGGAAAGGACTGAAACCGAGTTTAAGACATGTACGTGTATGGGGATGTCCATGTGTAGTGAGAATTTTTAATCCACAAGAGAAAAAATTAGACCCAAGGACTATTAGTGAACATTTTATCGGATATGTTGAAAAGTCTAAGGGCTATAGATTTTATTATCCATCTAATTGCACTAGAATTGTGGAATAAAAAAAATGAATTTTTTTTTAGAATGATTTGATTAGTAGGAGTGATCAATTACAAAACTTACTTCCTGAAAAGGAACATATATATACTCAAACTTTTATTTCAAGTAATAGGTTGATTATTATCCACAACACTTCTAAAGTCCAAATGGGTATTTCATAACCATTAATAGAAATTCCACAATTTGCTAATGAACCAGTAGATATAATTGAACAACCAACTCCATAAGAGGAAGTTGTTACCACATTAAGAAAATCTATTAGGGAAAGAAAATCAACAATTCCAAGTGACTATATTATATGTCTTCAAGATTCGAATTATAATATTGAAGATGAAAATGATCCTGAAACATTTTCACAAGCCATAAGTTGTAAAGAATCTGATTTATGGTATGATGCCATGAAAGATGAGATGAATTCAACGGCACCTAACAAAGTCTGGGATCTTGTTATGTTGCCTAATAATGCAAAAGCCGTAGGATGTAAATGTGTCTTTATGACAAAAAGAAACTCATTAGGCAACATAGAAAGATATAAAGCAAGACTTGTTGCTAAAGGATTCACTCAATAAGAAGGGATTGATACAAAAAGACTTTTTCTCCTGTATATAAAAAAATTCCTTCAAAATTATCATGGCACTTGTTGGACATTTTAATTTAGAGCTACAACAAATTATTGTGAAAATTGCATTTCTAAATGTAACATTAGAGGGAGAGGTTTACATGAAAAAAAAAAAGGATTTTCCTCTAGTGAAGTTGAGAATTTAGTGTGCAAGCTTAAGAAGTCTATATACGGATTGAAACAAGCCTCGCCAATGGTATTTAAAATTCCATGATGTAATCTCTTCATTTGGTTTTGTACAAAATATCATGGATCAATGTATATACCAGAAGATCAATGGGAGAAAATTTTGTTTTCTAATTTCGTATGTAGATGATATTTTACTTACAACAAATAATAAAGCCTTATTACGTGAGGTGAAATAATTTCTCTCGAAAAATTTTGATATGAAGGATATGGTGATGCCTCTTATGTTATTGACATTAAAATACAAAGAGATAGACTTCAAGGTATTTTGGGTTTATCTCGAGAGACCTATATCAGTAAAATTTTGGAAAGATTTAGAATGAAAGATTGTTCATCAAGTGTAGATCCCATTGCTAAAGGGGATAGATTCAGTATGAATCAATGCTTGAAAAATGATTTTGAAAGGGAGGAGATGAGAAATATTCCATATGCTTTAGTTATTGGTAGCCTATTGTATGCTCAGGTTTGCACAAGACCTGACATAGCATTTGTGGTAGAGATGTTAGGGAGATAACAGAGTAATCAAAAGCATCTACCACTAACGAGCTGCAAAGAAATTGTTAAGGTATCTCCAAGGTACCAAAGATTACATGCTTATGTGTAGGCAGTTGACTGTTTGGAAGTCATTGGCTATTCAGATCCTGACTTTATTAGCTGTGTTTATTCTCTAAAATCAACTTCTGGATATATATGTATGTTTGCTAGTGGAGTAGTGTCTTGGAGGAGTGCCAAGCAGACTTTTAGTGCTACTTCTACTATGGAGGCTGAGTTTGTGTCTTATTTTGAGGCCACATTGCATGGTATATGGTTGAAGAGTTTTATTTTTGGGATTAGACTTGTAGATTCAATATCTTGGTCATTGAAGATATATTATGATAATTCAACTGCAATGTTTTTGGCTAAGAATAACAAAAGTAGTAGTCGAAGCAAGCATATTGGCATTAAGTACTTAGCCATAAAAGATCCTGTTAAGGAGAATATAATGGTTATTGAACACATAACCACTGAATTCATGATAACGGATCCTTTAACTAAAAGCATGCCACCACAAAATTTAAGGATCATGTGTATCGTATGGGTCTTGATTACTTTAGTTAATTTCATTCTAAAATGAATATAGTTATGATGTTTTTCAAGTTTTAGTTATTTATGTGTGCACATTTATGTAATGATAAACATTTTTAAGTTGGACCTAGAATAAACATAAGGTTTATTCATCAAGTTGAATAAACAAATATATAGGAGATATAATCATTGTGATGCATGGAAGATAATACTAACACTTAGAAGATCTATCACCATGATTCATGATTTTTGTTTTTTATTTTATTTGTGATGGAATATTTTAACCAAGTGAGAGATTGTTAAAATAACTATCATTAATGGTCCAAATTACTTGACCTTTTAGTTTAATCAACATTTAAAATGACCATTACTCAGTTTTAAATTCAAAAATTAAAACTAATCGTTTCATAATTTTAAATTCAGCTTTTTAAACTACAATTTTATTTATTACTATGATTGGTAGCAATTAGTCCATGATTTTTTGTATATTTTAGGACCCTAAGCCTTTTTCTCAAATCACTTCTAAAAAAGAAACCTACACCATCATATTGGGAGAGAAAAAGCTTAGAAGATTTTAAAATTAGTGAAGAACACGATCAAATATCAATGGCCGAAGGCATGTAAAATATGTTTATAATTTAGCTTCCACATTTTGTATAGTCGATTCCATATTTTATAAATTTATCTCAGAATATTGTTGAGTTTGAAAAAATTTTACAGAATCGACAAAGTTTCTATCAATGGCCAAATTAAACAATAATTTTCACATGCAGCTCGTTGAATTTTTATGTATTTGAATATAAGCGCTTAAAAATTTGCTTATGATAGCATGAAACTCTCACATCATTGCTATCAAGTTGAATTATTTTGAGAGGCATCTTCTTTTAGCAAGTTGATTTCAAGAATATTCAATTTTTGCTATAATTGATTGCATACAAGTAAGAATAACTAGATGCTGAAAGATGCTTGGCATCTTTTTCATTACAGCCACAAATACTCAATAAGAAATTCCTGTCCTTTCTTTCTCCACTTCGTAAGGAAATCTATCATTAAACCCACTAGCAAAAGCTTAAAAAACACGCTTTTTGATAGATTCTCTAATGGGATATTTGCATAAAACTCTTCATGTGAATTGTGATACACTGTAGTCTTATTATAAAAATCCTATTATTAATAGTAATTTATATACCAAGAGTTTCATAAATCATAACAAACTCAAGCATTAATATCGGAAATTTAACGTATTATCCTTTTCAAACAAAATAAAATTAGAAACGGAGTTTTTTACAAGTTTCCATAGTTCTGCTGAAAGATATATGCATGCACTGATACAGAAGAAAACTTTCATGGCTTCTCAAGTGCAAAGAAATTATTTTTTATGCACCAAAACTAAGTTTTTTTCCCCTATAAAAGAAAAAAAACAAAAAAAATCAATCCTTCAAGCGACCAATGCTTTCCTCTACTTCAGTTATAAGTGCAGAAAGTGAAATTATTTAAGGTGGATTATCTTACATATGGGCTGTGAAGAATTTGAAATCATGGTGATGATGAACTCTTAGCTGCTTAAGCCATGAGTCTGCTGCACTGTAAAGGGTCATAAGCTTTTCATGATCCGAATTTTCAGAGTTTAGCCAGATATTTTCCCGCATCCTATAGGTTGCAAGGCCAAATGGAGGAAGGCTAATAGTGTTTTTGGTATCCTTGGAACTCCCATCTTTCGTCGTAGAAATTTTCGACTTGTCTTCTTCGGAGTCGATGAATGTGTCATCTGCAATTTAAATGCAAAAAATGAATGAATATGTAGAAAACAAGGAGCCTGAATTGATTATGTAGGAGGATTGGTCTCTGAATCATATAAATTCTGTGTTCTATGATGTTATGTTTTGATTATTCTTTTTCTTTTTTTTATTCCTACGGTAATCATGTGGCAGACCCTCTTCAGTAGACATCCTAGCCTTGATCTTATTGTTAAAAGTAGCATAATAGGCCCTAAATCTCTACACGATCAATATGCCATAGCTGCCACCTTTGTTGCCCAATGGTGTAAATATTTTGCTCATTTACGTATGATTGATTTCTCTTTTCATTGAGGTTACTTGTTCAAGCAAAATCAACTATGTATGTTCAATACCTCTATCATAGACCTATGTACTGAGGGTTTAACCGCGCATATTGAGTGTGATAAGATACTAACAGTAATTGTTTTTGAATATATAGCAAAACATCACGATTTCTATGACTCTAAGGGAGTTACTCAAAACATGGGATTATATACTAAGCTTCAATTCCTCACAAGATTTAGGAAGATCTTAACCTTGATTTTGTTTTGGGCTTGCCAAAGATGAACAACGACGTTGATGTTAGGGAATCGGCTTAGTCAGCTAGCTGTACTATACTTTCTTGGTTTTAGCTATGTATTAGACCTCTATATATTGGGGTTATCTGATGTATCTACTGGATAATAATAATATACAATATTCTCCTTCTTTCCTCTCTGTTCCGTCGCTCTTCCAATCCCTCTGGTTTAGTTCCGTCCAAGAACCTTCACCTGGTATCAGAGCTCAAACGCTCCACAGTGTCTTCCTGATCCCATGGAAAAAGAGGACTCAACCGGCTCTCGTTGGACAACATCAAATGTTTCCAATCAAGAAACCGAAATGGTCATCCCTTATCATCTCAAATTCCTAATCTCAAATGTCAAGAACCTGGTTCCCACTCAACTCACCTTCAAGAAACTCAGCAATCGGAGGCCACAGCTGATGTGAAACGTAAATGCCATTTATTTGCCTAGGTGGCAAGATTAATTAAATCCCAAATCAATTTGGGGAGAGAGAATGGAAATCTGAAATAAAATTTCAGATTAAGTGGAATTGGCGGGATGAATTTGAATTTAAACTCAAATTTAATGGGGAGAATTAAATTGGATGAGAGGTAATTATGGAGGCTTAATGAGGGGGCCTATTAATGAGATAGGAGAGAGATTATGCCCAATGAGGGGGCCGGCCACATAAGGAGGAGAGAGGGGTTCATTTTGGAATAAGTGGGGACCACCAATTTAATTTCAGATTTTTACAAAAATATGAAATAAATTTTCAGTTTTCTTAAGGAAAGAAAACTTCCATTTAGGAGGGTAATCAATTTAAGCAATTTGAATTTCAAATTTCAAATTAAAATCAATTAAATTGATGGTGTAAATTAAGGAGCTACTTTAGGAAACAATTAATGGCTCATAAAAGAATTGAATTTTAAATTTTGAAATTCAAGGAGAGGGAAGCCTGCGGCTAAAGGAGCGACCATGGTGTGGAAGGTGGCTGGCCGGCGGGAGGCAGTGGCCTGGAGGTCGGCGGCCTGAGTGGGCTGGAGGAGGGGCGGCGGAAGTGCTGGGTGGAAACGGGTGAAGTGATGGAGTTCAAAGAAGAATGCGATTCGGACAGATTCTCCTTGAATTCTCACACTAATTGATCGCAAAGAAAAATTGGAGGAAGGTCAAGAACTCACAAAGAGATCTAGCTCTTCCCAAAACTCACTAAGAGATTTGGGAGAGGGATACACTCACAAAGAGAACACAAAGTAGAGAACTCACTAAGAGATCTCAAAAGAAAAAGAACTCACTAAGAGATGTAAAAGATGGAACTCATAAAGAGAACGCAAAAAGCAAATTTTCATTAACAATTCATCATCTCATTACATAAGAAAGGGCCTCTATATATAGGCCTAAGAAACTAAAACAAGGCACATATGCCCCTAAGGCTTACATAGGACGACCCTCTTAAGTTAGAGTAAAAATAAAAAATTCATAATAAAAATTTAAAAATTACAAATAAAATATAAGATAACGTGGGACGATGACAGCCGTTGATCTTCAGCTCGTCGGATAGCCATGGACGGTTGGATGTCTGCATCAACAGCTCTCCTCTCCCACCGCGGCAAAAATAACAAGTTCCACGGATGCGCATCAAACCAACTTCAACAAATCTCCATCGACTCTCGAACCTCTTTAAGAAATCAGCAAACCCGTCGGCAATGCCAAATATGCCAGAAAATGGGCCACTCGGCCGTGAACTGTTGGCACCATTGCAACCTCAACTACACTCCTCCCTCCAACCCAAGAGCACTCACGATACAACAACAAACAGCGGCCACCAGCGATTGGATTTTGGATTCCGGCGCATCATCACACCTCACCTTTGACGTGATGAACCTTCAACACCCGACACCTTACAATGGTCTTGACTCCGTTTCTATCGTCAATGGAAACACTCTTCCCATTCAGAACTCGGGTCAAGGCCTCTTGCCTCTACCCGAGTGTCATCGTAAGCTTGGCCTTCGCAAGATCCTTCACGTTCCGTCTCTTTCTCACAATCTTCTATCTATTTCTAGATTAACTTCTGACAATAATGTTTCAATTTATTTTAATGCTAATGATTTCACTATAAAGAATCTTCAGGACAATCAGCTGCTGCTCCGCGGTCCCAAACGCAATGGTCTATACCAAATCAAGGTTCCTACCAACCATGATCACACCGCTCTCGGAACGGTCTGCTCATCCAATTCCCGCTGGCATGCCAAACTTGGTCACCCAAACCTCCACACTCAGTAGCAATTGGCAAAACTAACTTCTGATATTACCTCATGTTACTTTACTGATGTTTGCATTTCTTGCAATGTTTCAAAAAGCCATAAGCAACCCTTTCTTACTAGCAAATCTATATGTAATAAACCATTTCATCTTGTACACTCGGACGTATGGGGTCCGGCACCCATACCATCAATGAACGGCTTTCGTTACTACGTCATATTCATTGAAGATTTTACTCACTTCACAATGTTATATTTACTGCATTTTAAAAATGAGGTCTTTGCCAAATTTCAACAGCTGTGCAATCTTGCCAAAAATAAATTTAATGCTAATGTCCAAATCTTTTGTTCAGACGGCGGCGGCGAGTTTACTAGCAACACATTCCGAAATTACCTAACCCAACAAGGCATAACTCACCATATCTGCTGCCCGCACACAGCCAAGCAAAATAGCACCGCCGAATGAAAACACTGACACCTCCTCAACCTCACTCGCACATTACTTCACGCTGCACACCTCCCCAATCCCTTCTGGGCAGAAGCTATCTCCAAAGCCAATTACCTTATCAATCATCTCCCCTCCTCCGCTACTATCAATCAAACACCGTACTTTCGTCTTCACGGTTTGCAAGCGTCTTACAAACACCTTCGCACGTTTGGATGCTTATGCTTTTCGTGGACAAAACCTTACACCCCAAATAAGCTATCCCCTTGCTCACAAGTCTGTGTTTTCCTAGGATACTCCACTCAGCACAAAGGATATCGGTGTCTGCACTTACAACAAAATCGCCTCTACATATCTCGACACGTAGTCTTCTACAAACACCTATTTCCCTACCAAACCAATCTCTCAAATCAGTCCACCTACACTCAAAACACCACCTATTCACCCCTCTTACTTGTTCCTAGCCCAGCAACTCATCAAACATCCCACTCAAAACTTCTCTCGCACACTCCCACTCTGTCTGTCTCACCTGACAACTCTGACTCCTCCACCTCTTCCACGGCTCCCACTATCATCAACAACATGACCAACCAATCTCCTCCTCATCACCCGATGCAAAATCGTCTACATTTTGGCATATCTAAAACAAACAAATATTCAATTTATGTGTGATCAAATCTGAAACTCAGACACCTACCTCCTATGTTGAAGCATCCAAACACGATCACAGGCGTTCAGCCATGTCGATTGAATATCTAGCCTTACAAAAACAAGGAACATGGTCGCTGGTACCTGCTCCTCCAAACAAATCCATATTGGGAAGCAAATGGACGTTCAAGACAAAGCTTCACCCAAATGGACAAGTATCTCGCTACAAGGAACATGCGGATGCCATCTTCCAATCACAACCAGATCTCTCTATCTCCGCAGCAATACAGACGTCGATTGGGCTTCTGATTTAACCAATCGGAAATCTATATCCATCTTTCGCACCTTTCTGGGACCCAACCTAATCTCCTGATTGGTCAAGAAACAAACAATCGTAGCCAGGTTATCAACAAAAGCAGAATATAAGTCTCTATCCTCTGCTACCTCAGACATACTATGGATTCGCCGTCTCAGAGCTTAGTTCGGAATTCAGCAACGTCTTCCCACTACGATCTACTACAACAACACATCCACTATCGCGCTAGCCAACAATCCCGTCTTCCATGCTAGGACCAAGCACATTGAAATTGACTATCAGTTCATCCATGGACACATCTAACAAGGCGACATCAATATCGCTCACATTTGCTCAACTGACCAAATAGCTGACATCCTTACTAAATCTATTCCTTATAACTAGTTCCACAACCTAAGATCCAAATTAACCATTTGATCCCATAATGATTAATTTAAGGCGGGCTGCTAGGGAACCGGCTTAGGCAGCTAGCCATATTGTACTTTCTTAGTTTTAGCTATTTATTAGACCTCTATATATATTGGGGTTATCTGATGTATCTGCTGGATAATAATAATATACACTTTCTCCTTCTTTCCTCTCTGTTCCGTCGCTCTTCCCTCCAGTTCGGCTCCGTCCAAGAATCTTCACAGTTGATTCCGTGATCGTTATCGTAGATCAATTCTAAAAAATGAGCCATTTAACTGCGTACAAATACATATTTGATGCAAGCCATGTTTCTCATGAAATTGTGTGCTTTGAATTCTGTGTAGTTTGACTTTACATAAAAATGTGAAATTTATCAGCTATTATTGACATCAAATATGGAAAAGATTTCAAACCAAGCTCCCAGTAAGTTCAGCCTATCACCCTCAATCTGACAAAAAAAAAAAAGGTTGCTAATTGAACTTTAAACACTATGCCCTGTATTTTATGTTGGCGTCATCCAACTCAATGGGCTGAATTACAAAGACAAGCTGAATTAAAGGCTTTCCTTACGATTTGGCCATGGAAATATTCATGAATAAACAAGCAAGTTACAAATTCCCAACAATGTCAACCTGAAAAAAATGCTGATTTAAACGTAAATGCACATTTTCTACAGAAGACCATTATGACATACCTTGGAAAGCAGATGAGATAGTATGAAAGGTCAAAAATGAAGCATACAGATCTTTCTCATAACAACGAGCAGGAATATAACAGATAGGGTACCTATTAAGATTTCATCACAAAATTCATAAGAAATGAAAGAAAAAAACTATAAACTTTCAGTAAAAACGATCAAACAATTCAGGGAAAATAAAATTGGAAAATCGTCATACCAGGCAACAGACATCCAACTAGCAGGTGAAAGATCTGCACTCTTAAATGACATTAAGCCTGGAAACCTTCTCGAAAGCGCATTTACCTGTAAATTCATATTAAACTATATAAATTAAAAGCAAATACATTACAAGGAAATCAACAAAAAAATCCATAAATTCATCTTACTTTATTCATTAGTGGAAATCTTCGACAGGGAGGGCTAGATTCCATATACTTAAAGTACAAGTAACCCAACCGATCAGTTGGCCATGAACCTTCCTGATCAAAATAAGAATCTTCAGATGTAACATCCCATGACCTTGATGGCTTCTCGCTCTCACTGTCATCACTCCATGAATCACTCTCGCTTTCCTCAACCATATTTCTGAAAATTAACATCAAAATGTGTTTCAGATTTTAGGAAAATTATCCGGTCCGGACACAGAGAGAATCATCTGAATTTCTCTTTGCCTACTGTAAAAACACAGTTACTATAGTAGCTGCGCTTTGAATTCGTTTTTATTGTAGACGGAGAGAAATCCGGTTGATTCTCTCTGTTAGGTGTCCAGACCTAATAATTTGCCCAGATTTTGAGGCAAATATACCAGCATATATCAAATTTTAATCAGGAATCAAGAAACCTCGTAGAAGCCAGAGATTCACTGGTGTAAATCTGGATAGCAGATAAGTAGGGAACATAGTACTGAAGTACAGTTTCGCCGTTGGGGCAGATGATCGGGATGCCTGTTCCGAAGATACTCCATTCATTGTACTGATCCCAGAGGTCTCGAAGATTAAAGTATTCAACTTCTTCCTTGCCAATTGGCTGCCATAGACTGTTCAAATCCTTGAGGCTTGTCTGCAATCAAATAGTTAAGACTTTAGATCATATTTCAGTCAAACATCTCTAAATTTCATGTTTGTTCTGTATGAAATCAATTATTGCAGACTCAGCTCTTATGCTTGTTTGGGCTATTGCAAGTTTGATTTTATCTTATTTGTAACTCATTCCAGAGAACAGACATGATATTTTATGGTGAGTATATGTTAAGAGCACAATTGAAGCTGACTTTCATGCTTGAAATTGAAATTTATGCATCACCTTTATGATGGTGTATAGAAAAAAAAGAGTCATTTAGATCAAAACAAAAAAAAAAGAAGCTGAGATTGAAAACATGCCACAGAATTCTGTGCTGCCTATTTATAACAATTGACTAAAGAGCAAATGGAAGCAAATCTGCCAACAATTGAATTGCAGTAACATCATCTCCAATAAAACCTGAATGTTTTCTTCACCATATCACAGAATACCGAACTAAATCACATATAATGATGCATAATCCACAGCTAAAAAGTGAAAATTTAAGGTATCAATTAATATTAGTTAAAGTAGAATCCCCAATAAAAAAAAAACAATAGGAAAGAGGAAGAGAAATTTCCCCTGATAAAATGGTTCCTTGAAGACAACAAACATTAAACAGAGGAAGCAATAATAAAAAAATAACAAAAACTCATTAATTTTGTAGAAAAACATATAGGAAAAGAAACAAAACATAACAGAAATCATGGAAAAGGAAATGACTCTTTCTTTTTCAAGGAACAGAGAGAGAGAGAGAGAGAGAGAGAGAGAGAGAGAGAGAGAGAGAGAGAGAGAGATCACCTTAGGGAGAGAATGTGAGCCGACTGAAACCAAGGTTCGGTCAAGAAAGCATTGCAGATTAGAATGACTTGTAAGTTTTGAAGCCATACTTCTCTTCCTATTTCTTATCAAAAGGGCTTTCTCTCTCTTCACCCGTCTTTCGCACTTTTCCTCTCTTCTCTCCTCTTGTATCTATACTAATCTCTTCCATGCCAAAAAGAAAAAAGAAAACATAAGGCCAAAAAGGGACGTTTAAAAATAGAACATCAAGGAACAAAAAGAAATAGAACAGGAAGGAACAAGAAGAAAAATGTATTTCTCGCTCTTCCCATTTGTAAGAAACTAACTTCTTTCTCTTCAGCAGAGCAGAAGAGGAAGAAGAGCAAGAAGACAGCAAAAAGAAGAAGATGAAAGATGCCGGGGAAGAAAAAAGAAGGATAATTACAATGCAAATTCTTAGATAACGTACTGTATATTCATTAGAGGATATAGTTTACCCACACGCGTACTTAGTCTATTTTTAGAAACTCTTAATCTCTCTCATGAATGCTGTCTCTTTCTCTTCCCACCGCACCTCGCTAACGATTTCCTTCCAAAAAGCTGCACAAAAATACAGAAATACTACACCGTAACTGAGTTATGATCTCATCTAGACCACATCAGTCCTCCCACCATTCAAAAAATTTCTCTTTTTCATCGGTTCTCTGCGAAGAGCAAGCCGTAAAACTAGGGAAGAAGATAGAAGTAAAAAAATATGACTCTTTTGCTCTCGCTCCTCTGTCTCTCTCTCTCTCTCTCTTCTCTGTGCTTTCAGCAAGGAAGTGCCGAAGGAGGGAAAACGAAGAAGCCAGTAAGATTTATACTGCTCTCTCTTTGCGCTTTCAGCAAGAACGAATTGCCAAACCAGGGGAGAACAGAGAGACCATAACAGGGCAGTTTCCTCCCTCTTTTGTACTATACGTATGTAATTTGCCCGTGCTTGTATTATATAGATAGATTATAAAAGAATGCAAAAAACGGTGGAATTTTTCATTTTTAATTTTCTGTTGGAACAATTTGTCAAACTTAGTTGTCGTATACTTATCTTTCCTCACGATGTAATAATCTTTCATTTGCTAGTGTTAATTCCATGAGAAGTTGCAGTCATTATTCAGTTTTCCTTTAACAAATACTTTAATGCTGTTTTAATGCTGATAAATGTTGCTGTAAATTGCATCTTAAAATTGGATTAAGGAAATTAAATTAAAATTAAGAATCCGTTTAGTAGCACTATAGCATTTTAGAAAAAAATATTATAAAATTGCTAAAGGAAAAAAAAAACTTTTGGAAAGTTATTATAAAAAACAGCTTTTTTATACATATTTTTTAAAAGTAGCTAAAAATTTGCTAAGAAATAAGCTCTTTTGGGATATTTAAGGGCAAACTGTTGTATACGTAAGATTTGAACTCAAGATCTCTTTGTTCCCAGTCAAAGCGCCCAACCAGAAGATTAAGATGAGCTACATAAAAAGAATTAATCAATACTAAAACTTAATACTTCTTAATGAGACTTTTATGATGGAGAAAAATAAATAGATGCAGTTCCTTTATTAATTAGGATATTAATTAACTTCTTGTTTTATTTACTGGTATAAAAGATGTATTGAAATAAGAAGTGAGTTTATTTTTAGTGATTTACTGACATTTTTAATGGCCACCGTTACAAATTAATTTAAATAGCAAGTGCTTTACCTCCATGGAAAAAAATTTCCTAAGGATTGAGTAATGTTGATGAGAAAATACAGTCCAATTATTTGAGAAATGCTGAGTAACTTTGAGGATGGTATTAGTAAAAGAAAGGAAGATTGTAAAATTCAATAAAATCTTACATAACATATAGCATGTAAAGCTATGGTGTATTCATTTTGAACTATAATTTTATGCTAACATTTACTTTGTTTGCCAAAAAATTAGTTAAACGACTTATAAAATCCAATAATAAATTATATGATTTGTCATATTTTTATGAGGATAAAGGTATCTTAATCAAGTTTTTCTTACATAAGATAAGGAGATTAATTAATTTCTTTAGTTTTATAGGTGTCAAATTACAAGAATGCCCTTACACTGTTTAAATGGATAGCGAACATCATGTATATAAATATTTTTTATAATTTTAATTTAAAGTCCATAAATATCTTTGTCATTAATATTTTTGTCATTAAGCCTAAAGGAAATATATATTTTTTCCTTTTTTTGCCTAATGGCCTAACCACCCCCTTCCCTTTCCACATGCAATAAATGCAAGATGCCTAAATATGTAATCTCTTCTTTATAGCATATTGCCAAGTCCTTTTCAATTTAAAATCAAGGTTAAAAATTTCAATAATATTTTGGTAGTTAAAAGAAGGAAAAGGAAAGTTTGGCATTCAAATTCATTTTCCAAACCATTCCAAAGGGAGAGGCCAGCTATGGGAGCATAAGGCGAGAAAAGAAAGCGAGGAAGAAGAAATCACAACAAAAAATGAGTTATTTTTCGTAGCACTTGGTAGCAGGGCCTTTAAAACCATTGCTAAATATGACTTTTTACAGTGATTTTAACCCCTACACAAACTGCATCAGAAACCCCTTCCCCACCGGTGGCAAAACCGTTGCGAGAACATCTTGCAGTGAATAACAAATATAGTGGTTTTGCAGCGATTTTGAATTAGTTGTTTGTAGCGGCTAAAACCGCCGAAAATTTAAGCTATTTTTTTATTGTGGATGGAAGGCCAATTAAAGTGTTGTTCTTAGATAATTACATCAAAATAGTGTGGTAGATATTCTTAGCTCTAGCCTATTACATTATTTTGAACCCATGATTTTCTTTGAATCCAACCAATTACTTTTAAGTTGGTGGGTTAATCAACACGAGCACATCCCATGATTTCCACTATTCTTAAACCTTTGCCTTAAAATCGAGTTTGTGGAGCCATGTGCTACAAATAAATTCTAGGTACAATGAGGCCAAAATAGACTATAATCTTCTCGTTCATTAATGATTCAAAATAATTAAAAAATAATATATTTAAAAGGTATTCCTAATGCAATACCTAATTGCTCAAGAAATAACTCTTATTCATGAAATGCAAAAATATTTTATCCTAATAGCCACATTCAATAATCGATTTATCAAATAGAGAAGTATTTAATAAGAAACTCACAATATATTTCCTTTGCTTATAGTTCCCTCAATATCTTCACAAACCCGATTTATGTGATCACTGTCATAATATTGTTGGATAGCATTTGTACCATTTCAAAGAAAAGTACCTTCGTATAAATTGAAAGGCATCTCTATAAAGATCCAGTGATATAAGGTCTATAAGATATTTATAGTGAAGGCAACAACTTTATTAATGTCTTTTTATTATGGTTGTAGAAGGCTTGTTTGAATGGTGGTGAAATGGCTATTCAAGACTTTAATATATTTGTTACTAAAACTTCTAGGCTGCAAAGGGCATATTTTCATTGGAGAAACGAGTATGGAATACAAATTAAAATTTTGAAATGTTAAGGAACTAATAGTGGTGTTTACATCACAATCACAAGTTGTACACCACACATACATTAAATGAATCAAGTAAATATGGATATATATCCCAAAAATTAATTAAGGGCTATTGTGGCATAGAAATATGTAGAATATTTCTTACATACTTTAATAATAAGCTTACAAACAAATAGCCTTTCTTGAAAGGAAAATTAAAATGCATAATTTTAAAATTCATTGATGGTTTGGTTTCAATTTCATTTAAATTAGTAAATATTATTTTGAGTTGAATTCATATGTCAATATATGTTTTCATGAGAATTTACATATAACATTATATGTTTTTTTTTCAAAAAATCAATTTTCATATTTTTAAAACTTTTCTAATTTGAACTTTATGTTGCATAGGTTATCATCCAATAATTGAATCATTACACACACACACACACACACACACACACACACACACACACACACACACACACACACACACACACACACACACACATATATATATATATAACATTGGATCCAAATTTGTCTACTAGCAAGCAAAGCCAAAGAGTGATCTAGAACTTGTGTAAAAATGGAGAGGAAGACAAAATACTAGAGAAAAGTTATAATAAAAATGTTCAAAAGCTTTATTAGTCCTAAAAATTTTACACATATAAACAAAATAAAATTCTCCTCATCACCCCTTATTTATAAGATTCAAATAGTTATAGGAAAGGATAAATCCTAAGAAGTAAGAAAAAAAAAGTATAATGCTACAACGGCTATGTAATAGTAGTCGTCTAGAAGTCAAGTAATTATGTGTTTACAAGTGTGAATTTTCATTTGATTTAGTAATGACAAGTTCTAATGAGGTGTTTACAACATAGATTGCTTACATTATGTGCTGCGGAAATGGGAATTTTAGTTTTTAAACTTTCTCTATGAGCACTGCACCACTGGAATTGTGGTTCCTATGTTCTGATCCTGAGAAAATGGAAAATTTGAGGCTTTGGAGGAGTGTTTTAGCTTGGAAGCATTATTTTTGTGTTAAAATATATCCTACGGTAGATTATGAGATTTTGTATGATTTTGATAATTTTTCGTAGAGCACTGAGATATTTGAGTCTTTAGTACCCTTATGCTAGGCTGGAATAGTATTTTTTTTAAATCATAAATATTTAGAGTCACTAGTTCCCAATTGCCGAAGAAGAAAGGAGAGGAGTTGAAAAGGAAAGGGGAGGGAAAGGAGGAGATTTGAGGTCCAAAATCCAGTTTTTTCCCATCAGTCCTATTAGGATAATTTTTAAGCTAGAGGTAGGAAGCCCATACCCCATTTTTGTTTTTCAACTCTATCATGCAGAGTGAATGTTATGCTTTTAAAAGTATTTTTCTTAAGTTTTGCGAAGGTTTTACCGTGCATGTAACTTTTCATATATTGTATTATTCTATCTTCTGGAAGATTTGACTTTAAGAATGTTGTTTTTTACTTGTTAGTTTATTCTAAATTAATTTTTTATGATTTTGTGAAAGGAAGATATTGTTTTTGGTAGTATAGTTGATAAAGTAAGTTATTTTAGCATTCCTTGCAATCCCTATGAAAGTGATAAACTTTTGAGCACTTTATGTTGGCAACTGAAAGCTGGGATTTTTCTATAGTAGTGGATACATGATATGATTTTCTTCAGAAATGATATTATTTGGAGCTCTAAATTGAACAAGAAAAATGTTGTGATAGTTCTCTACTTGGGCCCAAGGTGGAAGTATTATATATTAAAAACCTTTATTTATTGGAAGCTTACTTTGTCTTGGTTTTACTTTGCACTTCACCTTTTTTGAACATATGGGAGGTGGCACTACTCTACACCTATAGTAAATAGGTGGGAGGTGGTAGGTTTGGAGTAATAAGGGGCATTTATGCATGTGCATTATGCAGTCATCAGTGTACTCATACATTATACTTTAAAATTAAACAACATTTATATAATTTTGTTTGAATGCAATATTATGATTTGAATTCTGTGATGGGTAATGAGGTTATCCTACGCATTTATGTGTTCACTCTATTTCTTACACCATTTTAGGCAAAATTAAAGATATTGTTGAGTAGATTCAGTATGATATGAAGTAAGGAATATAGGTCAGCAAATGCCAATGATTTTGGAAGCTTAGGTTATGTTTATATTTTATTGAACATATTTGCATATGATTATTTTGGGAAATAAAATATATGTTTTACGCACTTCAAATGTTATTGAAGATTAGAGGCTCTGGTATATTACAACTTTTGAAATGTTTAGCTTATAATGATTAATAAATTAGGGTTAAATTCCTAAGAATTGAATTAGTATCAGAGCCTTAAGAACTGATTTGTTAAGTATAAAATAGGTGATCTTGCATTATAGTTAGTGAATCCCACTTTTTTAAGTGAAAGTTAATGAGTTTAATATGAATCCCTCTTTATTTTTTATAGTTTGAAGTGTTTCTATGATGGACCCACATGACCCTAAGGTAGTGGATGGGCAGAGTTCTAGAGATGCTACAATCCATATTATAATGAAAGCTATAACATTTGATTCAATGATGCAATTTATTGGTTTGATAGAAGAATTGATGGGAGAAGCTTA